AATTGCATAACATGTTCCTCAGCTAGTGTATTTCCTGTTTTCTTTCCAAATTACTCCTATTGGATAGAGTTAAGCTTTCTCAAAGAAATAAAGTAGAAAAATTAATTTCTGCAGGAGATGAGTTCTTTTTACCCCAAAACCAACTTTTTTTAGAGAGTTTGTCATGATGCAAAGCAAGTCACTAGCAATAAGCAAGAGCAGAACTAATTAAGATATGCTGCCTGGAACTGAAGTTCTCTAACTGGTGCTTGAAAGAAATAGTTGGGTTTTGTTTTTTTTAAATAAACTACATCTAAACGCAAAACCACCGAGCCACAAAAAAAACATTTCCGAAGTCTGCTTGGATTTGAAAATGTATTTGCTTTGGAAAAACATTTGAAAAGTGTCATAGTCCTTGCCTCACAAATGCTGAACAGCAACAGAAGGCCAAGTTTAAATGAAATCCACATGAACTCAGTTCCCAAATGGCTTTGGATACTGATGAGAAACTGCAACTCTCCAGCATCTTTCACAGCCACCAAAAGTTATAGTTAAAACTGAGGCTGCATTACAGCAGAATATAACACAGGACCAATCCCATTACTTACTTGGAGGTTTTTTGGTTAAGTCAGTGACAACCATCATCTTAAATTATTCTGGAAAAGTTCTATGTAACCTAAAATCTGAGGTTTAGTATTTGACACAATAAAGCATGGTTTGGCTTTTGTAAAAACAAGTGATACTAAGGCTATGTTTAATTTAGACGACCTGAAATGAGAGAACATTCAGAAGAGCGTGACTTTCAATGAAAGCTTGCCAAAGAAGCACAAAGACATTAAAAATTGCTATGCTTTAAAGCAAATCTGCCTGCCACAAGCTCATTCAAGTAGTAATGTTTTTTGGCACTAGTCCTTAGCTGGTACAATAGCCCATGATCATTATTTGTATTTCATGAATTGTAAACTCTATAGGCCTTTGACACTTAGAGGAGTTTTAGTGCGTTCATATTCCAATATAACTCTAAGTTATAGTGACCTGTTGCATCAGTCCACCTAATAAAGCAGGATGCAATACTCACAGAGACCAAAATACAGCCAGCACTCCTCCCACTTTCATCTGGGCACAAATGCAGAATCTATTTCCAGTCCCTGTATGCTGCTGCTGAACAGCATGAAGCACGACAAATTCAATTGAATTTGTCACACTGGAGAATTTTTACTACATCTTTGAATTGGATAGTGACCCACAACACAGAGAAAGGTGCCTGCTGTGCTAGCAGTATAAGCTTTTTTCCAAATTTTATCAATAGCTTCATAAGAGGTTTTTAAAGCCACTACATTGCTGAGAGCACAACAGCAGCCTCAGATAAGTTAAAATGAAATTAAACTGGTGACAGCTTAAGTTCAAGCTGGAGGAATAACATAACAGGCTCAGAGGTAGAGAAACGCCCATTCAGCTACTCTTGGTACAGGACTTCCAGCAGGAATATGGGGTAGACATGTATAGATGGGGCCTTCTTCAGCTCCTCCTCCACCCCATCCTATCATGATTCACATCCCAAGGATATCCACAGCTCCAAGTCTTCTAGACCACTGAAGTTCATGAGAAGTGAATTAATCTGAAAGGAAGAAAACTTACAATAGTTTTCCCTTACTTCAGTATGGCAGACAAGCGAGATTAGAAGTGCTCCTTCCTTTGTTTTAGTGACAGTTTGTTGTTTACCCTGTAACCATCTCTCCCTAAATGAGATTACTGCAATCAATTTACAGCTAGATTTTAAATACCAAGAAAAAATTTCAGCATCTATACAACACAGTTGTTAGGTTACACTATAAGCAGATGATCACTAAATCATAGAACAGCCCAGGTTGGAAAGGACCTCAAAAGACCATCTGGTCCAACCTTCCATGGGAAAGGGAGCCTAAATGAGATAGCTTATCTAGCACTCTGTCCAACTGCATCTTGAAAACCTCCAGTGATGGGGACTCCACCATGTCCCTGAGGAGGTTGTTCCAGTGACTGATTGTTCTCACTGTAAACAAAATGTTTTTCTTAATATATTCAGTGTGAGTGAAGCCTCTCCTGATGCAACTTGTAGCTGTTGCCCCTTGTCTTCTGCATATGGCTCCTCATGAAGAAAGGGTCTCTGTCTTCTCCATAGCTGCCCTTTAAGTAAGATGATTTTACTCAATATTCAACATGTTTGCTCTGGTTCTGTTTTTATATGAAAGTTTGAATCAAAGTTTGGAAACCATTGTCTTAACCATATCAACGGACTAATGAGCAACTATAAGCCCTCAAAGTCCCTCATCATCACTAGCACAGCCACCTTGAACTTCTGTGTTTCAATACAGCCATTCTAGAATTAGAAGCAAGTTGGAAAGGAATTTGTGAAGTAATATGAAACTGTGAATCACTTGCAGAGACCTCACAGACCACCACTTGAAAACTTTCCAGTTTATGTTTGTGAAACCTATCACCAAAAGAGTCTTTACATTTATCCATAGAAAGCTTAGCTGCACCAATACAAGTATCTGGTCACAAGAGTACATATGAATACTTTATTCTTATGAATCAAGCCAGTATTTCCCAAGAGCCTAAAAAATTATAAATGACCAATGAGTCCACACATGCTGTCCAACAGACAAATCATCTTTCTTCCACCCCACCGAATATATTTAAACGTTCAGCCAACATAGCCATTTCACACTTCATTTTTCAGCCCTGCATCACATCCTTACGAAATACTTAAACTTTAATCTGCATCTTCAAAGCCAAAACTATGTGTCAACTGTTACCCTGCAATGCCATCAAATTAACACTCCATTTATTTTTCCAAGAGCTATTTCGTACTACTTCACCAATCATTAGAGCCATTTTATTTTTAAGAAAACACTGAGGTGCTGTTATCTCCATATTTTAAAGTCTTTCCCTCCCTCCCAAAAATCAGAAAACTAAACCCAAAACATTAGTTCCTACACTTTAACTGACTAAAAACATTTAAGCCAAATAACCACTTAGTCCTGGGCTGCTTTCCCATTTGTCACCACTACTAATTTTGGATGGCAGTCCCTTTCCAAAAAGGGTTGCACATACCATTTCTGTAAGTTCTAAGCTTTTTTACTGGGTCTTAAAAGTGTATTTAACAACTCCAACTAGGAATTTTCCTTGACTAGTCATACAGACATAAGTGTGTGACACCTCTGGGTTTCTTCATTCAGGCAAGTGATCATGTAGACTAAGCAAACACTTTATATGGGGCAAGGATCGTATTTAATTGGCCACCACTTATTGATGAGCACAGTGTTAATGCTGAACAAACAACTGCTTGTGCCCACTTAATACAAAGGGATCCTAATTCATGGTTAGACACAAACAGTACTCCACAATAAAAAAAACTAGTTTTGAAACTGCAGTTTCACCACTTAGTTGAAGGTTGTCTGCTGCATACACCTTTCTACGTGAATGCATGCCCATTCAACTTGCAGCAGAGTTTTAAACACAGGAACCAAAATGCTTTAAAAGTGACACTTTCTTTAAATTACTCTGCCCTCACACTACTACAAAAAAACTTCCACAGATAGAACATGCATGCAAAGTTCACTTCCACATCACACATAAATGATCTGAACCACAGAAACTAGCACTTAAACACTGCAATATATTTAACACCATTAAAACATTGCCCAAGATATTAAAATATTTACTGTTTTACCACTCAGTGCTGTCCTTCCTAGCCTTCTTCCCAAACTCAACTCCTAAATTGGGGAATTTCTTTTTAACATTTACTTTTACTAGGAAATTTATTTGTGTTTATGTACTTTGTTACCAATTAAGCTAACAATGAACAGTCTGACCACTTAAGTGAGTGATCATGAGGACAAGGCAAATTCTTCTCCCTGACACCTACTTACAGAAAAAACAGACTAAAATCATCACAAACTTTTGTGCAGACAAGGACAAGTGGGTCAACTGACAACTGTGACCAGCCTTTATCAAAACTGTTATTCCTAGTGAAAGCAAGGCCCACAGCACCAGAAACAGACATGTTCTCTGAACTCTCTCTCTCTCTCTTGAACACCCCAGTGTGACCCCTGCAAGTCTTTCTTTTAATCACTCAACTAAATGTTCTCATTTTAAAATTTGATTAATATATCAGTCAGAACCACAGAGGGGTTTGAGTTGTCATTTAAAATGCTGTGAGAAGTGTCCTTAGTCAAGAAGAGCAGCAGTGGCACGCCTGAGAGTCCTGGGGTCAAGAACTGACTTCATTTTACACTTTCCAAGCGAGACCTTCTGCTTCTGGGCAGTCTGTAAAATAAATTATAACTACTCCCCAGATGAGAGACAAGTTATTTAAACAGGTCACACACTGTAGCTGTAAAAACTATGGGAATGAACGGCTCTAAATGAACGCATCCATCCCACCCAGAGGTCCCGCACCTGCGCTCAGCGATGAAGCTGTTGCCCCTTCCCGGCCCTGCCCCGGCCAAAGGGAGACGACAGTTCCCATTCGCAAGAGAGGACCCCTGGGGCCTTGCGGTGCTCCTGCTCCCCCCCGGGAGCGCGGGGCCCACCCGATCCGCGCCCCGCCGGCACCCCCGAGCACGCAAAACAGGCCGCCCCCGCCCAGGCGGGAGACAGAGGCCACCGCCCCACGAAGGCCCCGCAGCCCACGGCTCCCCTCAGC